TTTATGAGCATTTAAAAGCATATATCTTCCTTCTTATTTCTATATTACAGGTTGTTTATTTTCTCATGCACTAACTTTGGCTTTGGGAATAAGACGAAATTGAACTGTGAATATCATTATAGTGTATAGACAGTAGTAACCATTGAGAGTAACGTTGAAAATAATGCATCACATATTTTATCTAATTTGGAGTTCACATAATGGTATGAGGTTAATAAAAATGCCAGGCAATATAGTTGTATCTGCCGAAGGTCTAGGATGATGAATAAATAGATGGTCAAGGAGCAAAGTCCCATTTACGAGCACTCTAAGACTTCTATATGGAAAAGCAATAATTTATTCGTGGAAACGTGAACTCAATTTTAATTATGTAACTTATAAATAAACAAATTCTCTTAGCTAAAGTGTAGCAATGTACAAGTTGGCAAAATACAATTGTTTGGGAGTATCGCTTGCACCAATCATATAATTTAAATAAGCTCACTTCATCCAACTTCAAAGGAGGCTGAACTAGAACGATTCGTTGCCCATCGATGCCAATATGCAAGAGGCCATTGATACAGGCGTACGCCTCAAGACAGTGTCCATAGACAATGACCTTTTGTTGACCCTGAAATAGCTTCACGATAAATTGTGATGGCCCGGATTCATGGGCTAATGAGGTGGAGCTAACAACGTCGATTTGCGCTGAGGCCAAACGATGCTTCTCGACTGGTTTCACCTTCTCGTCCCCTAACTGTAAATTCAAATTCCCATCTTCTGACTCAGAAGACTGAGGAGATTTGTTGATAGCCGCATTAACAGCAAATGAGGTCTTCTTGTCATCATCGCTGTTTCCCAGCAGCATAAATTCATGGAAAGTAGGGAGTTGGACAGAACTATTCACGTGTTTATTAATGTAAAAAAATGGACAAAAGGCTACAGCATTGTTCTTTAGTATGCATGCTTTCTACTGATTGATTAAAAAAAATCGATTGAGGCAAAATGAAATGAGAAACTAAGGGCTATTAATGAATACAGGCAAGCGCAATCAGACGGAATTCCAGTAGTTGCCGATACCTATATTTAAAAATATAAATTTATTGGCATCTATAAAGCCCACTTAAAATCTATTTAAACTTACACTTTAGATTGGTCACAGTAAACATTAGCTTAGAGAATTTAGTTTCCCACTGTCTGTATATTCAACTATAACCTATATATATTTGGCTTAACTCTGTTGCAGTTAGAAGTGCCAGGCAAGTCGAGAAATAAATCTTACGCAAGAAGTGGACGAATTCTTCAGGATCCTGCTAGTATAAACGAAAAAAGATACTAGTCTAAACTAGAAACAAGTTTCTATTCTCATAGGCATCTATAGCCCAAAACCCTGTGTTTTTAGAATTAAATTAGCATTTAAATGTTATCCAAATCATCTTATTAAAACGATATCCTTGCAAAATTATGCTTTGAGGTCTAGATTTTCGCTTTAAATTGTGCTATAGAACTCACACTTCGTTTGACTCCAATTTCGTAGCCTCAGGTGCAGGTTCCTCAGCCGCCTCCAATATAGGAGAACTGTACATTTTTGGTGCGCAATTGACCACCTCAGCAGTAGAACTGGAAGCAGCTAAGACATCGTGTGCTGGACAAAGAGGTACTTGCGAATGCAATTCAAATTGCTTATCCTGGACTAGATGGAGGCGGATCCAGCTTATAGCAGTACTTGCCTCTTCCTTATTGTTAATCAGCAGCAGATTCTCAGGCAATGAATCAGAGATGTCCGTAGCTATTTTTAAATCAAAAAGTGTTCATTAATAAACATATCGTCTGATATATATATATATGTGTGTTTTTGAGATTACCAATAGACGAAATGCATTCGCCCTATTTCGCTCATGGTGATATGGGGATCATGGTTGGATTTTCCCCGTTTTCATACTTTTGGGCGATAAATAACTAATTTAATCGATTGCAATAGCAAATACAACTTTGCTTCATCGACAATTCCAACAGAGAATGTGATGTGTGAAAAGACCTAGGCTTCCTTTAAATTCACATCTGTTTCGTGACCTAAGGACAATCGTGATGAAAGGAGGAGATATATCACAACGGTTAAAATGAAGATTTGTTGAGATGATTGCCTAAACATGTAGCTTTGACGACTTGTTGCTCGGCGTTAAGCATTGTGTTTCTCACAAAAATGCAAACGATTGCCAGTGAAATGACCCAAAATATACTAAGTCCTTACCTTTAAAACAAATTAAAAGTACGCCAACATCAATCTATTAATAGACTCACCAAAACCCAGTTTATCGTGGCATATTTTGGCAATTATAAACAATGCAAAAATAATATTGAAGCGAGAAAAAATGAGATACTAGTGAAAAAAAATTATGTTCTGATAAGATTATTGCCTACGATTAATGAAATTCTCGCTTGGAAATTCCCGCAAAGCTAAGTATTCCTTGATGTCTTCTACGGCCGGAGCGATGGGATGAAATTGTAATCCAGGAGTAAGGATCAGCAAATCATACGCGGTTTGAAAAAAGTGGTTTATGGTAATCATTTTCCTTTTTCTGTGTGGGGGTTAAATAAAACAATTAAAAAGAGATTCTAGTAATTCATAATTAAAATTAATGGTAAGATAAATCGATCTTTGTATGGTTATAGAGGTAATAATGGAGAATCTATTATCAAATAATGAAAAATGCTTTGCAGATGCGCTGAATAAAAAAATAAGGTAGAGAAATGTTGAGGGTTAACTGGGCAAATAATTATACCACCATATACGAAATACTAAATGGCATTATCAATTATACTGTTGAGTCACAAAGAAGTGAGTATTATAAATAAATGTGTAGTTAAAAATAAAAGTATGAATACTCACAAATTGTTTCATTTTAATTTTAAATTAATCGCATAAATAATGTTTATTCCTAAATAGAATTGATTCCCGTTAACACTCAAATATACGAACAGATTTTATGGTGTTTATATAAAAAAATAGTATTACTGATCTTAATTTGTAAGAAAACGGGGCATCTAATTAAAATCGTAAAATGTCGGGAAATAATAGTAAAAGCATACTTGTCGAAGATATATATTATAGAATAAGAAGTCCTTATCTACCTTTTAATTTATAAAGTAAATCCATGGATTGTGAGATAGAAATCGCTGATTATTGCGGATTTCAGCAGCCAAATTAAAAGTCGAAAAAATAGTGTTTATTAAGAGATAAATTCTATATAAAATTAGGTAAGAATTGTGGAAAGAAACAACCGTATAGTACTTATTAATAATATCCATAGTATGCATTGTATTACTGGAAAATGAGTTTTTGATAACAATAAAGATATTTCATCAATTAGTCGAAGATTTCTGCTAGTTATGCAATTTAGTGGACTGGGATAATATCAGTAGAGTTTAAATAAGGACTATCTCCACCTTAGTTTAGTAGAAGATATAAATACCAGGATGGTGTGGCCTTTTGTATGGACACGGTCTCCTTTCGTTGTATAGAAATTGTTTATTTTTCGTGTTTGAGTAGAGTTTCATCACCTTAAACGAAATAGGGTGAATACATCTCGTAGAAATTGTTTGTCCTTAATATCACAACTTGGTCATATTGGTAGGAAGACATAGAGGAACGCACCTTGTCCGGAGTCAATAGTAAACATGATAATTTCCAGTCAGACGTTGGACTTCGTACACTATCAGATGTTTTGCCAGCATCGTAGTCGGCATCATCAGTAAATCTTGCCAGTTTCAGCAACCAAGCTACAATTCGTCAAAGAGACAAGTGGAGTCAAATCTGGACCAATTTTGATGGTTCTGAATTGAAGGCATCAACTGCTACGATCGACGATAGGGATAAGTTAGTTAAACTGTCCTCAATCCCTCTTGATTGCGAAACGGTGGATCTCTTGAAGAAAAGGTTAAATTTTTCAATCGGTAACGAAGGAAACATTTTAGAAGATTTCCTTGTAGAATTTATCAACAACTTGTAGAGATTCCCAGAAGAAACGAAACGGAAGAGGGAAAAATAATTAATCTCGAGAATCCTGTCTTAACAAGAGCCAATGGAGAGGAGCGGATTAATAAAGATACGCAGAAAATTACAAATAAATGACCAAATAGTTCTTCAGGCGGATACAATAGGTTCGAATGTGATAATGGACAGGCAACAGTACACGGATAAAATAGAAAGTATCCTATGCGACCGGAACACCTATAAAATAGTAATAAGAGATCAAACAATGAAAATCAAAGAGACACTGAAAAATATGCTAAAAAAAGCATAATAATGGGGAGATTGATAGATGGATGATGAAATCTTTAATCAAAAATGACGCAAGACTACTGACAGCCTACGGACTACCGAAGATATACAAGGAAGATAATCCTCTAAGATTAAGAGTCAAATACAAGCATGGAGAAACACACAACTATAGAAATCCATTTGTTTGAAACTCAAGAAAGTAAATGATAAACTCTCGAATATCGTTAAGTATTCATATTAATTTTCTCAAAGGATCCAAAATATTTGACTGGCAGGAGGAAAATGTTAGTAGGTTTTGACGTACGATTCATGTTCACAAACATATCAGGCGAGAAGGCAGTCACCACCCTACAGGAATATCAGTAAAAAGAAGACGACTGGAAAAGAAATTACAAGGAAAGCAGACAGGAACAATCGGAAACCAAGAGAAGACGTCTACAGTGAGCCTATTCAAATCAAGTAGAAACATCACATTTGGGGGTTGGCACGCAATAGAATGTGATAGAAGAGCGAGAGAAACGGTAGTGGCCATTTCTAGTTGGCTACTAGAAGATAATTTTGCTTATAGACGTGGTCCATGAAGAAAGGGCTTGATCACGAGATTTACTCGGTGCACATGCCACACAGCGATGAGGGAATCTGCAGCGTCAAGTTAGGTTGCCATGCCAATTAAGAATCCAGACTTTAGGGGTTTGCTAAGTGAGGGTGGTGTATACATGCTATCAAAGGCTTGAAGCAGAGCGTAGAACAACGCCTTGTAAGTAGCACGGATACGGTGGCAACGATGGAGTGAAATCACTGAAATAGGCAGATAATGGGAGGATCCCAAGGAGTTAGAGGGGGACTCCGAAAGGACCCGAAGAGAAAGGATAACCGATTAAACCGCAGCCTTAGATCAGCAGAATGAGAGATACCACAACTGTTTATCACACATTTGTTCAAAGTATCGACTTCACTTGTCGTTTTGACCAGTTTTAGTATGGTGCTAAAAATTGCAAGGCTCTCTGACGATCCGGGCGAAACGTAACGGAATGTACTAAGACAATGGTCCAAAGCTGTAACTTACGCATAATATGGCAGAAGACACAGGACTGAGTAAGTTCCACAAGGTCTCCCTATTGCTCCGACCCAGTTGCAAAAACGAGGTCGAACCAACACTATAAAGCTAAAGGAGACTGCGACCGAATGGAAGACTACACCATCTTGGTCTTTATATATGAGAGCAAATTTAATCTATCTTTCCCAATTTTTGTATTCATTTTTTTATATTCAAGAATATATTTTCATAAGTTAGATGAATGATTTTATATCTAAAGGTAAAACTAGTCAAAGTGAAAATAAAACATACCTATCTATAGCAGTTAATTTTCCGTAGATTACATTCACATAAGACCGTAGTGATATCTGACTTGCATGGTCAGCGTTAAACGTATGGCTAAAAATGTAGAATTCACGCGAAGTAAGTTTTTTTGGATTTCAATTAAAAAGTGAACTTAATTTCATTGATAAATCTTATGAGTCTAATCTTTAATAAAAAGCTAATAAGATTGCATAAGAGTGCATAAAGCAAGTATGTTCAACTCATTCTAGCCATAATTTGTAGGAAGTAAACATACTTCTCAAGTTTTATTAAAGATTTAAGTAGAAATATTTCAAAAATATACATTTCCGGAATAATATATAAAACTATTAGTTTTTTATAAATAGGTATTCGTGAATACCTATGTGTTATATCTCAATAGACATTATCATAACAAACAA